TTAACACGGATACAATGTAAACAGTACTGTGTGTAGACGAACAAGACTTTCACAGTTTTTAATACCTTAAATGACCCCAGATTAAACGAAGAGCTGTCATGTTGCTGTACTGTAAGTGTGTATGTAACTCTTGGCTTTTTTAGCTGTCACACTTAGGCTGTTTTGACACTTGTTTATTTAGTTCTCAGAATTGTTATTGTATCTTGTATGTAGCTTAGGTATGTCAATCAATGTTCTTTATTTGTCATAATATTTTCAGCTATCATGCGGATGGTGTCTTTAGGTTTGGGCACAACATCACGTATTGGGATGTGTTTGGCCATTTATTTGTTAAATTTTAAGTCCAACCCACAGTTTTAAGACTGAAATATGATTTTATTTTGTATTATTAGTGTTTATGCATGTAGTTTTCTTTGTTAAAAATTTGTATTCATTAATAAATCATATTTCATTTGATTAGTCATTAATAAATGACATTGTACACCATCCGTTCTTATGTTTGTTCTTTGCTTGGTTGCTGGGGTATGGGGTTAGTTTGAATGGAAACACAATTTTTTTTTTTTTCATAAGTATAAGCAATCAAACTGATTATCAACAATACACTATAAGTTTCATCACTCGCTATCAGATAAAATCAAAGTTATCTTGTCCCAAAGCATCGACCAATGAAATTGCTTATCTCGGCTTAGCTTTAGCTCGAAATGTTAATCATTGAACTCAGTCAAGACATTCACCTAATGAACATCTATATCAAGTTTAAACATTCTACCTCAATTGAAAGCAGAGTTGTTATGTTCCAAAGTCTTGACCAATCAAATTGCTTATCGCTCCTTTGCCTAATCAGAAAATTCTCATCATCGAACTTAGTCAAGGTAATGATATAATGAATCTATACTCGGGTTTCATCACTCTCACTTAATTATAACCAAAGTTATCGTGCCCCAAAGCATCAACCAATCAGATTGCTTATTTCTGCTTGCGGTAAGCAGACAATGCTTACGATCGAACTCCATCGAGGCATTCACCTACACCAAGTTTGAACAGTCGACCTGAATTAGAACGAAAGTTATCATGTTCCAAAGTCTCGACCAATCAAACTGCTTATCGCTCTGCTTACCCTGAGCAGAAAATGCTCATTATCGAACTTAGTCAAGGTATCGATGTGATAAAACGATACATCAAGTGTCCTCACTCTCACTTAATTAGAACTAAAGTTTTCGTGTCCCAAAGCATCAACCAATCAAACTGCTTATTTCTGCTTACCCTAAGCAGAGAATTCTCATCTTCGAACTCCATCAAAGCATTCACGTAATAAACACCTATGCCAAGTGTGAACATTCTAGCTCAATTAGAATGAGAGTTATTGTGTTCCAAATTCTTGACCAACCAAATTGCTTATCACTCTGCTTACCCTGAGCAGAAAATGCTCATTATCAAGGTATTGATGTAATAAAACTATACACCAAATTTCATCACTCTCACTTAACCCTTTCATTGCGTCTACCCGGTAGTACCGGGTATTATAAAATGTCGGTAAAATACGCGTACCCGGTATTACCGTGTACTCAGTAAAGCCCTCACTAAAATTAGTACCGTAACTGCAAGTGCCATCTATTGTATTTTCTATACACTAGAACATATTTCCACGTGTTTCAAAGCGGCAAACCGTAAAATGGCGGAGTGCATAGTGACAACGTAGACGATGCACTCTCGACAAAGTCCTGAATGACGTCTTGCTGACCAACACGTGGACAATTTCGAGGCGGGTGATACACATAATTTGTTTCCAGTTACTTGATAATGATAGTAGTCAGGACAGTGATTGGTATTATGAAGTGTGATTTGTTGCGCGACATTCCACCCATGCCTTGCTATGTCTCCCGTGCATGATGAACAAGCCCAATGTGAACACGATAGCCCTGTGTCTGCAGTAGATTCTGACAATAATTCTGATGTTGATAATAATGCTGGCCTGCTGGATCGTAAAAGACGTAGGCAATTCCTGAGTCCCGAACGTGTAGATCTATTGACTGACTATATTGATAATGATATGGGACTTGGGGATGAAAGTGAAAGTGAAAGTAAAAACAAGGTATTGCAATCCGCACGTGGTCATGGCAGCGGGAGACGTGATGCGCATGCTCATGGTGGCATTGCTCATGGCTGCTATTGATATTTTTGTTCATTTTATATATCTTTAAATATCAAAATCCAGTGAAAAAAACAATATCTCATAAGTATTTCATGGAGAAAAATTCGTTTTCGTGTTAGCTTTAGTGAGAAATGAGAAATCCAAAATGGCCGCCATGACGTCACGTGACTACATTAATATGCAAATTTCCAAAATTCTATTTTTTCCTCTTAGCCCAACATCATGCCCATCCCAACAGACAAAAAGATTTTTCATAAAAGCTTCTATAAGTACTGTTTGGCATTCAGTTCCGACCCCCCTTTTTTCCTCAAAAAAGAGTCTAGCAAAGGCAGTGGATTTACGTCAAGCATTGAAAGGATTAATTAGAACTAAAGTTACCATGTCCCAAAGCATCAACCAATCAAATTGCTTATCTCTGCTTAACCTATGCAGAAAATGCTCATCTTTGAACTCCATCAAGGCATTGGCCTAATAAACACCAACACCAAGTTTGAACATTCTAGCTCAATTAAAGGAGAGTTACTGTGTTCCAAAGTCTCGGCCAATCAAATTGCTTAACGCTCTGCTTACCCTTAAAAGAAATTGCTTATTATCGAACTTAGTCAAGGTATTGATGTAATAAAACTATACACAGAATTTCATCACTCTCACTTAATTAGAACTGAAGTTATTGTGTCCCAAAGCATCAACCAATCAAATTGCTTATCTCTGTTTACCCTAAGCAGAATATGCTCATCTTCAAACTCAATCAAGGCATTGGCCTAATAAACACCGACACCAAGTTCTAGCTTTGAATGTTCTAGCTCAATTAAAGGATAGTTATTGTGTTCCATAGTCTCGGCCAATTAAATTGCTTATCTCTCTGCTTACCCTAAGCAGAAATTGCTCATTATTCAACAGAACATATGAGAAGCTGTATACATTTATACTTTTTTATTTAAATATTCCATTCTCGCAAATTCAGTTACATTCATTTTGGGGTAGTTTATATTGGTTTATTAATGTATTTTTGTGTCAGAAAAGTACTAGTCTAATATATCATGAATATATATCTTGGGATGGCTACAGATGCAAGGAAATGACGGATAATTTTCTTGGCCCCCCCCCCCGAAAAACAAAATCTCGTCTCAGCTGCGTGCCCCGTCTCCGCGGTCAGTGCCCTCATTTTTCGGCGCCCCCCCTTTTTAAAATTCCTAGATCCACCCCTGCTTCCATATGTAAACAAGACTTAACTCTGGTGATGTCGCATTATGTTCAGATAGTGATATCTTGATAGCTAAATACTATTAAAAGCTCAACATTTTATATTTCAAAATGTGAGTTTAGAACTAGATTCAACTGGGCGCAAAAAAAATAAGATTTTCCAAACTTATGCCCCATAAAGGGTGAGGCTACAAAAGTTACATGTCAAAAGGTGAGACTAGAACTAGATACAACCGAGTGTAAAAAAATAAGATTTTACAAACTCGTGCCCCTTAAAGAGTAAGGCTACCCAAAAAATTTTAGTGTACGTTTCCAAACGATCATGCAAACAATATAGTATATTTGGTGAATTTAAAAAAAAAAATTATAGCAATTGTTTAAAATTGTCAAAAAATATATAGTTTGCATCATCATATATAGAGAATATCCTACTCGTCTTTTTTGATATCAAAACATATCAACACAAGTCGATAAAGTAAAAAAAACAAGGCTCTGTCGAGTTTTTTTTAATTTATCGATGAGTGTTGATATTTTTTGATATCAAAAAAGATGAGTAGGAGATTTTATTTATCACCCAATCCCTTTTTACATGCACAAATAAATAAATATAATTCTTTGCTATACATTTCACTTTTACTGAACCCGATTACATTACGGTGTAGTGATACATCAACCATTGCAAAATCCTTTATATTGACCCAGTGTTTCCATCAAGGCCAATTAAATAAAAACAGTTCCTTTTTAATAAGAAAGAAGTTACATTTAATAAAAAATGAACTGTTCTTTGAAAATAAAAAAAAGTTGTTCCTTTTTGATTGACCAATCAAATTCATGTAAAGCGATATCTCTTAAGGAGATATCGTTGTAGATTATGAAATTTATCACACAAGCAATATCTACTGTAGAATGTATTATTGGGTGATAAAGAAATGTACAGAGTGCATAGGGCTATAGGAGTTTGGATAAATAGCAAAGTCTCTAACTCAATATCACCCAAAGTCTTACATGTTGAAAACACGAATTATTTGTCAATTCAAATCAATATTGATGTTGTTATCTTACTGGGAAAAGGAAGGCTTCTGATATCCAATATTCAAGACATATTTCATAATTCATGTCATAGGGCGACGCCATGATTTATCTGGAGAGCATGTGCAATCGACTGGAATAACCAGACGCTAGAAATTCTTATTCGGTTGGGACTCATGCCGTATTTCGATGGACCTAACTGATTTGAAATTAGAGTCAAAACGGAAACAATTGAATCAGTTCATATACAATCAGATTACATTATTATATGCCTTGCGACCCATTTGAGTCAATTTCTAGGTCCCAAATATTAGCGATTTAGCTCTTTTAATCAGAATATTTTGTTTTATAAATCTGAGCTGCAGAAATGATGTCAAGAACCTGTAATAGCATCTGGATTAGCCAAATACACCATACCTCTAAATTTCACCTAGCAGTTGTACTTTCTCAGCGTTTTCTTTCAATGTATATCATTTGAATTTGATATTAAATGCTGTTCCCAAGCTACCTATATTTAACAGACTAACATGTGGTGCTAGTTTATTGTTGTATGATTCAATTCTAAATTGTCCAGTTTCTTAAATTCATTTTCAAAACAATGTCTCACAAAAAATACCTTGTTGTTGACCTAACATTCAGGCTGTCTTTCTTCACACCTGATGCCACAGTCTGTCGCTGATAATTTGGTACTTTAGTTTTCCGTTGTTTACGCATTGATTTCTTTATAGGTGTTTTATTAATATCATCTTCACTCTCCTCAGTTACAATATCTAAAATAAAATATATAAGCTTATAATATTAAGGATTCAATTGGGATTTCCCAAGATATGTTGCTAGGCAATTAATCCCAGTAAGATTCAAATTTCAATAAAATTTATTATTTTTGATTAGCAAACTCAAAATAAAGTCTTTAAAATAAGTGTGATTTCATTTTTTCGATGACAACAGCAATATTTCTGTAAACAATTTTTTCAGGGCTCTTAGTTTTATAATAGTAGATCCTTATTGCTAGTAAAACAATTCCAAAAGGAGTGAAAACAATAAATTTGCTGGTTTGTAATTAGATCATACAATTTTTATAAGAAGGGCAAAATTGCTGCACGTCTCTTGATTTTCTTAGTTTTGTTGGCCAGCAGCAGAAAAATTTTCTGTGCTAGCTCCAAAATCATTGTAAGATAACTCTGTGAAATTGAAGATGCAAGAATTCAAAAGGGTTTTTCCTTATGCCTCTAAGTTCACAAAAACTTCTATCCTATTTTTAAGGATTCATAAATAAGAACATAAACTCAGTGATCATGATTGAAGATAGGATTGGGGCCCCTTGGATTCTTCCAGTACCCCTGGCGGCCAAGCATATCTCTTTAGCTCATATCGAGGATAACTTGTCAAACTGGACTCACATATACATGGACAGATCACACAACCCCGAGAACGGTACGACGGGCTTCGGGATTTATATCCCGGGAAAAAGTTACAGGAGACAGCCAAACATGTGCTCTATGTACACATTGGAAATGTACGCGATCAAAGAAGCCGTAGTGTGGATATCCAGCCAAAGGAAATCAAACTACGTTGTCCTCAGTGACTAGAGAGTCTGGAATCAATAAGGAACCAGAGATCAGACACCCATCTCGAACTATTGACCCACTTCTACCTAGCATATGAGGTGTCCCTGGCAAAAGGCAACCAGACAGTATTGACATGGGTCCCATTGCACGTAAACTTAGCGGGTAATGAAGAGGCGGACAGACTTGCCCTAATAGGGTCAAAACTTGAAGAACCGAGTGTCAAAATCCCTTATAGCATGAAAGTATAGTTGGGCCACGCCACACGTCAGCTTTGAATGAGAAAGTTCCCTTGCAAAGCTCAACACATCCGATGAGTTCTTAAATGCCAAGTTATCTGTAAATCATCCAAGCAGGAAAATCTGCCAGTTAATAACAAAGCTGAAGGTGAAAGAAACGCTCAGGTATCCTATCTTTAAGCCTATAAGGTGCATCTTCAATTCATTTTCTAGTAGACTGTGCCCACTTCACAGCTGAAAGGAAACCCCTCACAGATAAACTGAGCTCCCTTAACATGGCTCTCAGTGTTCCAAACTTACTCTATCCTATTCCTAGAGTAAGCAAATACGAGATCTATGAGTTTATCTATGATTTCAGATGTGTGCGATTGTTATCCTAGATAATATAATGTGACACCGGAGGAACAAAAAAAAAGTGTTCTACTCTGTGAAGACTTTAGGTTTTACCCCAACACCCAACGGATGGGATCCATAAGTGATCATCCCGAGGCAGACCTCAAAATGTTTTTAAAAAAGCTACTTTCTTCATACCTGTCACTTCAGTAACTAATCTGTTGCTCTCTATTATCAAAGACCAATCACATCACACATTATCCATACATATAGGTACACAAACACTCTTAAATTGTTTAAGTATGTACGTACTTTGCTCCATATAAATATTCCTTTCTCACATATCGTATCTATATTTATGCTACAAATGATATTTATATATGAAATATTTTTCCTACCTAATTATTTGATTTTGTCAATTCTTCAAATATATTATTCATAGCCTTTATTTATGGACATTTTTTAAAACTTTTTAAATGATTAAATACACCAGGCAACAAGCCGTGTGCATTTCCGTTTCAGCCATCACTATATTTACTGTGGTGTCGTTACGGTAGAATTATTTCAGATGACCTTCAGGGAACAAAATAATCGGGTTTGCATTGCACTTTGCGATCCATTTCCGATGTTACTGCAATTAGCAAAATTTTAGTTGGAAATCTATAAAGTTGTGAATCATTTTTATCAGATATAGTACCGTTTATTTCAACATTTAGTGCCTCATAATTAAATTGGCAATAATAAATCCTTTCATGGTTATTCAAAAACGTGAACCTATCCTTTTTATTCTACATTTTATAACACAACGTTCATTTCAGGAGTTGGTCTGGTTTTAGGTTGCACTTATCCAGACATAATAAATTAAATGCATGGAAATATTGGTCATGCGTCTGGAAAATGTGACTACTATGCTACATGCCTTCACTCTTCTAGTCTGATCGTAATATTCATGATTTTCGATGTTAAATAACTTCTTTTTTCTTTTTTCATATAAATTTATTCAATACACATTGAATTCACGAAAGTATATCATATTATGGTAGATAAAAACTAGCACTAGTGTTAGTAGTAGGGTCAGTGAACTACTTTTATCATTTGTTGAATTAATTAACAAACAATTAAAAAAAACTATAATAACTCAGTTAGCGATTCCTGATAATTTGTTCTTGTTGCTACTATATGTGCTATATAAAATGTATGACCTGTATCTATTACACTAACATATAATTTTTAGTTCAGATTAATACAATTTATATACCATGAGTCAGAATGGCTTACTGACATAGAGAACATGATACTACCCACATTTACAATGATCAAAACAATGCTCGAAGTTTGACATATATTATGTAATTAGTCGAAAGCTGTCGCTTTGCAAAACTCAAAGTTAGTCATCACGCACTTACACGTCAGTCTCGTATTCACATCAATTACTGCTCGATAAAACATAATTAAATACTATGTGAATGTTCAGAACAGGATGAATGAATAGGGCTTTTTTAAACATGCATTTTTAATTAATCATGTGTGATTTTAAGCTCATGAAGGCTATGTTACCAAGGTGGACAAAATTACAGCAAGGTAATTCAGATCACGTGACATCAACATGAAGTTGGAATTCGTTTAGCACACGTAAAGGGTCATAAATGATTGTTGTTGAAAATATCATCCACAATACAATTCAGGCTGTGTGAGATCAGTAACTTGCAAGTTATGCACAAAATATGAATACAAACCAAATAATATTTTCCAAAATGACAATAACCTCCAAATTGGCCAAATTTAATAATCATCGCTGGCTACCGTAATATAAATAGGATATCAAGGCAAATAAAAAGTAAACTGTTACATTTAATTAATATTGAGTATTCATGATAGATTGTAACTGCACCTCAAATAACCAAAACTGCTAATCAAAATTTGATTTGATTAGCAAAAATTTATTAAAATTGTTTTGCACTGCTAACCAATTGTCAACAGTTACTTTGTTCCCTGGATGACTTGGGTCTACGTTTTAATTTATTTAGAAATAATACTTCATAATGCTATAAATTAGAGTCAAGCAAATCAAAACAAGCGTAAATGGTGTGAAATTCATTGTTATAAACTTGGCTACTTCCAAACTGTGTGAGTAACTGAAGCCTACGACAGAGCGAAATTGCGGCTTTTCGTGGTATTTCTGTACTTAATTCTTGCATTTAGAAACGAATTATTAAATGTTATGTAGACATGAGTATTGTGGTCTTAAGTCAAATTACTGAACATCAAGTAAAATTTAGTACACCTGTCGCAAGCAGGTAGGTTTACTGGCTACCTGTCAGACATAAAAATTATCTGTCGGCGACAAGTGGACAGGCGAACATTTCGAGGGTTGCTGCTAGTCGGACATCCCTATCATCTAAGATCATAGCATTTATGGCGTGTTCGCTCGCCATTCTTTCATTTCTTACACCGGGAGCTTCTCCTTTGGATGAAATTCACCTTAGACACTTCCCTGCAAAGACATTGTGTCTTACCCAAAAAAGCTGGATCAAGCCTATTTTGTGGCTTCCTCTGGCAAGTTTCTTAGGCAACACTTGTCTACGATATCACCCTTGGTGGAAGTAGAAGTAAAACTCCAGAAACGAACGAACGAATCACGTGCATAACATACTAAACCACTCAGAATAAAATTTAAGGACGTTGAGCAGTCTAAAGTGCACATTTTAAAGCTAGCACTGTAATTTTTGTTCATAAGATATGGCACGTATTGTTATTTGGGGTGATAAACTACATATTAATCCAAAAAAAAATAACAACTTTATTTACCAACTATGTTCCAAACTTTGTTGGAAATTTTATTAGTACATGCTAAAAAGAGATATTGATAATCCCCTCCTTGGATCGAAAAAGAGCTTATAAGCAACACTTCAACACCAAAAGCGTAGTAAAATCTCAACTCAAAGTATTTCAAAATCTGTGTTGATTATTTACCTTTAAACGAGATTTTGTGATTTCCTGTCAATTCTTTCAATATGTCCAAAACAAGTTTTAAATTAGAACAATTTGAATGTAAAAATATTTACTTCAGCACACTACGCCGCCGCTCTCAAAATCATTTTATACATTCAAAAATGGTAGTCTTCAATCATCAAAAAAAGAAATTCAGCAATGTTCTAGTCGCAATAGATGGTAGAAATGGATAATTGCAGTCTTAGAGGGAATTCCTTGTTACGTCATATATAGAGCAACATCAATGATCCAGTGGGGTCATTCCATGTCAAGTGGGCCAGGGATGGAAATCGAAACAAATTATGTATCAATAATTTCAAATATCTTATTGTTACTTTCCTATTGAAGATATACAGCTCAAATTTGGTAGTCTTAAAGAACTTTTTGTGTAGATTACGAATCTGCAATCTGATTACTAGTAGGGTTCGCATGCTACTTGGCCATAAAAAAAAATATAAAAAAAATTGGTGTACTATAATTGTATATTTTCTGGATTTTGTAGTGCTCCAGGAGCTACAAATTAATAGATCATATAGACGCAAATATTGGCCTACCCAGAGTTTGTTGGTAGCACTACATAAGAAAATTGGCCTCGAATATGGTTTCAGACACAAATTTCCGAAAATTGCCTCGTATTTTCGA